TGTATATGAAAGAGTGGCGTAGCCAGGATTTATCCAATTACAGAATTTCATCAGAGACCTGCAGAGGTCTCATTTGCAAGGCCCGGTCTGGATTAAAAAATTTTCGGCCCGGCCCGGATTTTTTTTTCAAAAATTTTTACGGCCCGGCCCGGGTTTAAAAATTTTACGGCCCGGCTCGGATATTCAAAAAATATTAGGAAGGCCCGACCCGGCCTTGGTGTTTTTTAAAAATTATATTCGACCTGGTATACATAAAAAATTCATCTATTTGGAATTTTATCATATTTTTCGGGGAGTATTATCATTTAATAAGCAAGCATATTCGCTAATATTGTTAAACGGCTCGTTCTGAGCCGAGTATTAAAAACGGCTAAATCAATATTTTCGCCAGAAAAAAATAATGACTAAGCTTCGAAATTTAGACACTATGTCTAGACCTTTGCTCCTTCTATCAGCAAGATTTTCACACTAGCATATTTTTTTTATTTTTTATTCTAAACAGATATTTAGTATATTACAAATTGATACTACGAAAAATTTGTTGTAAATAATAATTTGAGAATATACTATACTAACTGTATTTGTAAAAAAATAAAACTAATACTTTAATTAATAAAAAAATATAACATTATATTAAATAATAATGTATTTAATCCTTTGCGTATTTATTCCGTGGCAGGAAAACTATAATTATATTATGTAATAGATACTATGAGTGATAGCTAGTGTTAACTTCCACCGAACATTATATTAATCATAACTATATATAATCATTGTAAACATATCTAATTGACGAATATAATAGTTCATGTTGTATAAATTTTTAAAAAAAATACGGCCCGGCCCGGGTATTTAAAAAAAAAGTTCAGGCCCGGCCCGGGTATATTTTAAAAATCTAAAATGCAGGTCTCTGAGTTTCATTATAGATTTTATTTATTCTTAAAATACTATATATAACATCCCATAATTTAACCAGCTGTGTTGAGCACTAAGCGCTCTTGTTTGTCTGATCAAAATTTAGAAATCAATTGTTGCTAAAAATAAATAAAAAATTGTTACGTAAGGATGTTATCTTATATTATCTTATATTATATTATTTTTGTATAATTTTATTTATATTACAATTAAATATATGAATATTTTTTTTATAAAACGATCTCATATATTCTTTTGTAAAGTTTTATTCTATTATATATTGTCGGAAAAAAATAAATATTATTTTTGTATATATTTAATTTTTTTTAAGAAACGAGTACCCCGTTACTTTTTTGAAAAGGTAACGAGCAACGGTAACGCGTTCCCTTTTTCAGATGTAACGAGTAATGTAACGCGTTTCATTTTTTGTAGTAACGTTTACAGCACTACAAAGCAACGATAAATACGGTGGGCATGAATGGCTCGAAGCACTTCCAAGCCAAACCTTAGATAATCTCTTAACCAATGACCAACTGAGAGTTACTATAGGCTTTAGACTTGGATGCTCGCTTACAAATTCACACTCTTGCCGCCAATGCAGCCTACCCGTTCAACCTAACGCCAGACACGGTCTAAACTGCACCTGCAGCCAACGACACCATCTCCGGCATAAAGCAATTAATAAAATCGTACATAACGCTTTTAATAAGGCTAAAATACCCAGCATCCTTGAATCTACCAACCTCTCATTACAAGACGGCCTAGACCCGACGGCTTAACCTGCACCCCCTGGTCCAATGGGAAATCCCTTATTTGGGATGCAACCTGCGTCTCATCCTTTCCTTCATCAATTAAAAACACTCTTGTGGGGAAAATAAAAAAAAATTAATAAGTATTCAAAATTAAATAACTTATATATTTCAGCCAATAGTCATTTCAACTAACGGCAATTCTTCACAGTCTACATATATTTTTTTAAAATACTTTATCACGAAAATATTTTTAGCATAACAAACGAAAAATCGCGAATCCTTATTTCTTAAACAAAAACTTCAATTGGAAATTTTTCAACACAATTATACTTGCTTTTTAGGTACATATTCATTATTGAATTAAGCTCTTTTTAGAGCCTTCGATACAATTAATATATATTTATATTTAGTAATTTTATATATTTTTACATATTTTTATAGAGTTGTTTTAATATTTTAGTGTTTTAACATTTTTAAAAAATTTTTTTTACCAATATCAATATAATCAAAATAAAATTTGTATATTTAGAACCTCCAATTCAATATTATTTTTTAGACTCAGCAACATTTGTTCTACCAAAAGAAGAATGATCATCATTTTCTTTATTAGATGTTAAATCTGTTGGTGTTATAGTTTGAGCTTGATTTATACTCCTGGTACTACATTTAGTGCTTTTTTTAAATAATACATTTTGAAGTTATTTTTTTTTTATCATCCAACTCAATATGTTCTTAAAATCTTGGGCAGCAGCTAATTAAGATAGACAATATTGTAAACTTGAATTTTTAATAACCTATCTTTCTTTTAACCACAATATAAATAATATACTTTAATATGTTTAACAAAATTTGCGTTAACCCCTTTATCATTTTTTTTATTTATACAGGTTTTACATTGAGCCTGTACGTTGTCTTTCTTAGTTTTTATTTTAAAAAAAAATTTTCATCTAAAATTTTAAGATTGGGATCTGATTCAGGGGAAACCTATTTCCATAATTTTAACACTACCTTCTTCTTCACTACTGTCAGTGTTTTAATCATCTCGCAAATTTAAAAATATTACATAAAATTGGTAATGATTTTTTTATGGAGTTACACAACATTTATATAGAAATAAAATCTTTATTTATTTCGTTTTTGGCGTTGTTATTTTATATCTATGTATCTTTATATTAGTTGTAAATTTTCAGCTAATATTGGTCAATATATTTAAAATATGACGGGAAAAAAATAAATATATAATATACTATGATATGTAAAATTTTTTTCAACACGAATATTAAGAAAAATCTGCATATTTTGTCAAGAAAATAAAGATGCAAGACTTTTTTCAGAATAAAGAATCTTAGAAACAGATACTATAATATCTTATTAAAAATGTGAAAAAGATACTGAATACAAGATACAAAAGAATCTTGTATCTTAGATACAAATCTTCGCGGTACTGCCCAACTCTGGCTATTTGTAATTCATCCCCGTTTGTATTTTAAGTTATATCTAATCATCCGTCTTTTACCTTCTATTTTTTAAAACGTATATCAATATCAAACAGGTAATTTTTTAATAAAATGTTGCCTTATATACTTTGATAACTGTAATATAATTAATTCAATTGACCTTTTAAATGTATATAATATTAAAACCTAATGATATTTAAATAATATCTTATTACAAATAGATAACCTTTATATCATAACATGCAGGGTAAAGGCTAAAGACCTTTGGATTAATGATCCAAATATAAGAAATTGTTAAACCTATGGCCTAAATTTTGGATTCTTGAAACCAAAGTCTTTGACGGGGGCTTATTAGTGAAAGTTTTAATCCGAGATCTAGTCAAAACACATTTTGGCTCAATCATAGCCTAGCTCTAATAGACAGACTGAGAATAGTTTCAATATTTGGCTTAAAAAAGCCCATCAGGAAAATCGCAATGTTTGGATTGCTAATTTTTTTATAATTTATTTATTAAAAATTTCTATTATAACATTTTAACAAAATTAAAACACACTTTCATAATGTCGTTCCCAAAAAGGAACCATATTCATATCTCAAAATTTATATTTTTTTTTGACGCAATACATAAGAATTCTTTGGCTTCGTTTGTCAAATGCCAAATTTTTGTGCCATGATTTGTAAAAACTTTTAGGTTAATTGAAAAAAATGGCCGTTTGTGGAAATGACTATCGGAATAAATAAGTTGTTAAGATTTTTATATTCAATTATCTTTTGTTTCTGCTTGTGTTAATGGATTGATATTTGAGGGGAATGAAAAGACGCATGTATAATCCCACATTCATGATTTTCCGAGGGCCAAATATATATTTGTCATATCATCAGGATCTTAATATTATAGTCATTCCAAGAACAGAGGGTACAACACCTGCAGAATTACTTTTAAGTCGAAAGATTTAAGTTTCATGATTTGCTAAAATCAACGAGTAAATTCTATTTAGAATAATACATTAACCAATAATAAAAAAAAATTATAGGCGCAATGCATTGTTACTCATACATATTTGGTTAAAAATTAACCATTAGAGTTTAATAATCTAGAAGAAAACTCCGAGGCTCTTGAAATCCCTGACGTCCCCTAGGAAATTGTAGAAATATATAAATGAAGAATTATTAATACCACGAGATATATAAAAAAAAGAAGTTAATAGTCATTTGGGAGTTTAAATGAGCGAGATATTTTAAATTAAAACCAAGTTTTCACAAAAATATATAATTTCAAAGAGAAAGCAATTTTACTGAAAAAAGAAAAATGATGACCAACATGTTAATAACCAATAAAACATTCCAAATTTTATGTTAAATCTTAGTTAATAATTACTACTACTTTATACAGAAATTATCAAGGATAATAACTAATTTGAATTAATTTTAATCATTTTTTTTAAAAGTCCTTCTTTGTAAAAGCCAGAGAAACATTGTCATAAAATTAAACAGATGAGGAGAGGTCTGCAGCAATTTTTTACAAAACAAGGTTACAAATAAATTATATTACAAACATATATCGTCATCACGTGATATCAAATTACAATATTTTTTTACTAACTTACAAAGGTCATCCCTCAAGGATGAGGAAAGGTATTTAAGTCTCACTTATAAAAATTTATAGGCAACTATAATGCATTTAAATATTTTGATGGCTTTTAACATTTCAACATTACAATAAATGTCTGGTACATGGAGATATAAATTTAAATAATCATTTTTTTGATCGGTATATAAATAATTAAAATGAATTGTGCAAAATTTAATATAAATGTAAAAGTTTCTCAAATAAATAAAATTAAAAATATTTATTATATGTATATATCCATTTATTCACAACAAAAAGGTTTCTATACTTGTCAACGCGTAAACTTTGTCGAGTGACAGCGGAATATTTTCTTTGCTATACATCCTACGAGAATCCAATTCTAGCTCCATAGATAGAATTTCTATGAAAAATTGTACGGCTCGGTGTCTCGAATAATCTTGTTGGCATTCCCTTTCCTGAATCAGGTTTTGATCTTTAGAATTATGCCTTGACTCACCATAGCACATGTTATCGTCGTTAATCACAGACATATAAAAGATGTGACAATTATTGAGCATATCTTTCGATGGAGACGCAATAGGCATCAGAATTAGTTCGTTTAACGAGCGTATCAATAATGATTCGGCTATATCGACACTATTAGCATATAGAGGGCCTATTGTAAAGCCATCGTGCATCGGTCTTAAAACGCTATAACCTACTATATCTTCACTATTTTTGGCGGAATTTTGCAAGGCTAAGTAGGTAAATGTAGGGGTTCCGGTATATTTAACGCTTTCGATCAAATGGGTTAAAAATTTGCTTCGATCTGACACGTTAATGGATGCATCGTATCTGGTAAGTTCTTTGAAAAGGACCTTATAACGATTATGGTCTTCTTTCATGATTCGATTCATAGACACAACCCGAGTACCCTTTCTCGACTTACTCGCACCTTTTTCGCCAACACGCGCTACTAATTTCGCTATCATGCTATTGGTCAATTTGGTAAAATATCTTGCACCTTTTTATTTTGTTATAAATTATTTTTTTATAATAAAGATTTTAAGTATATATATATATATATTTGAATAAACTTTGGAAGGACACTGTCATTCCTTTCTTCAGATTAGACGGAACTCTAGATAAAACAGAATTTATAGCTAAATTTCGGCTATCGATATGTCTTAAACGAGTTTCCCACAGGGCTTTACCTACACCCTGGCATCTGTAAGGTTCCTTAACCGCGAATAGTCCACCGAAAGCCACTTTATCGCTCAAATTCATCCCGAATATGTTACCTTTTAAAAATTGTTAAAATAAAGATTCATCCATTATTACAAGCATTTAAATATATTATGTTGTTTATAATTAGATGGTTCCATGTCCACATTTGGTCGGAATGAAGTTAGGACAGAAATATTATTTTTAGAAGTCAACCCCACCCCCCCCCCCTCCCCTCCAAGCGCACCACTTTACGTTTCAAAGAAACAACAAAGAAATTAATTTTAAAATTAGCTATAATCATTTATGATAATGAAAAATTCTTTAATTCTTTAAAAATGAAATTCAAGCTAAAAAATGAAGACTAGAAACAAGATGGCACTCGGGAGTTTTTTCTACTTTTCGAAATATCTGAGGAAGAATTAAATTCTGTAGTGTTGTTAAACGACTCATGATAATATTGCGCAAGCCTGAAGATTTTGTTTGTAGAAGAAACAAAGATTTGGACATTAGAGAAACCTCGATACTTAGGCAATATTATCCTGGCTAAAATATTGAGTTAGCCGTTTAACATACTCTAGTAGGTAAAAAAAGAATTAGATTAAAAAAATGGCCTTTACCAATTTTTTATTTTGCAAAAATTAATGTCTGTTTATATTATGGCTGACAAAACAATACAAGTTTTATTTTTTGTTTTTTTTTTTGTGTTTTTTTTGGTTTTAAAATATTCAAATAAAATAACTTATGTTTTTGATTCGTAAATTATTTAAAAACAAAGTAATTGTTTTTCATTTGATTTTCTGGTCACAAATGCTACTGAGTAAAAAACAATATTTCTCACTCTAAATCTCGTAGTGTCCCCTTTCTCAAAAAAACTTCACTTCTTTTCCCCGATACCCTCATTCACTCTAAACTTTTTATCTCCCCTCTTTACCTAATAATCGATATTTTACTCGATTCCCTAGACTATTATTTCCCTGGTTCTTTTTAGAACTCGTATATAACCCCCCCCCCTAACTTTTCACTCACTCTCTCTCTTTATCTCCTTATCAATCTTAACATTGGATTATTACCACAAATACCCTGTTCACTTCTACTTAATCATCCAATTTGGGTATTAAAAAATTTTTGTCGAATATTAGAATGCTAGTAGAATCACCCTGAATAAATGACCCTAAGTAATAATGGCGAGTTATTATTATCGAGTTATAAGCGTTTTATTGTTCTCGAACCCAAAGTAAAAAGTAAAGAATATCAAAAGGCATAAACGTACCTTTTTCACGAAAAGGAGATTAAATATTAATAGAGGGTTTGAGCTAATTTTTTTTTTAGGTTTTAACACTTTGTATAGGATGATACAGCATTCATCTTACAGTTAACATTTGTTAAAATTTTAAAATTTAAGGTTTAATAAAAAAAAAATCTAAGCTATTTATGGTTTTACCCATAGAGACATAACCTACCCCCCCCCCCCCCCAACCCTTTTCCTCACTTTTAATATAATATAAACTCTTAAATATACTATAAAATTTTAATTTAAGGCCATTTCCAAATAAGACGCTATTTGTTTCAAGGATAAAATTTTTTTTTAGTTTATATTCGGTAAATCAGCTGTTTATTTTGAAAAAATGGCTTTAGAGATAGGGAATATAATATCAATATTAGTTTATGAGGTCAACTTTCAAGGTTTCAAAATTAATTTAATTTATAAATTTTTTAAAAGTGGGGGGGGGGCGGAAAGAATATGGAAGACAAACCTATAAATTTGTCGTCCTCGTCAACCGCGGTGAACCATCCATCCGGGTAAGCGTCGTAGAGTATCAAGAAGTAATAAGGACTCACTGTGTACCCTATTTCCGCGTTCCTCCACTCGCATATCGATACGATCTCATCCCTACGGGCTCTGCGAATGGAAAATATCGTTCTCCCGCTTTTGTTAAAGGGATGCTTTTCAATCAATTTATCGCTCATCTCTACCTCGCAATTTAAAGTGGAGGGGTCATTATCATCTCTTGTAGGTGATGCGTAATCTGAACCACAACTGTTAACTAAATCGATAGACATCTTCGAGTGAGGTTCTTGACTAATTACATCAAACAGGTCCCCAAAGCTGAAATTCTCTCTAGCCGTTTTACTGGCAATGGTCATCGATGGGTGTTGAATAGGTTGAAAAGTGGTCATTTTTATATCTTTTAAAAATCTAAACAAATCATCATTTTTTTTAAAAAAAAAAAATTCAAACTATAAAAACTTATTTTTTTTAGCGCAATTCACCCAAAATTTTGTTTATAGTTATGGCTTGTTTAATTATTTATTGTTTTGTTCAAAAAAATATTTTTTAAAATTGCTGGTCTCTTAAAAATGATATATAATGATAATCTATATTTATATGTGTTTTTTTTCCGGCAACGTGTTATTTTTACAAACTTTAAATCGTATTTCTGAGCGCGTTTTATCAAAATTTAAAAAGTCGGATTTTACCTGAAATAGAATTGTTGATAATTTTGCTGTTAACCTTTGAGTCATTCATAATTCATATGTAAAAAAAAATATGTGGAAAATTTAATATAAATTATAATTAATTTTAAAAAGTTCACGAAAAAAATTGTTCTGAAATTCATAGGGTAGGTTAATTCCAAACATGACGGCATACTACGTCGGTAAAATGAGATTTTTAAAAATATTTTTAAAAAAACACGCGTTCAAAAAATGATTTCAAAAGTTGAAAAAAGTAAACACATTGCCAGAAAAAAAACACAGTGATGTGCTAATATTTATTATATGATAAAAAAAAAAATTGAGAGAAATAAAATATATATATACTTGAATATAATTTAACGCACAAAAGAATATAAAGGATTATTCGGAATTTTAAATGTATTATTTCTTTAGGATTAAATGGATAAAATTTAAATTCCCAAAAGATTATAAAAACTTTTTTATCATTTTTTTTTTATCAAAGAAAACCAGTTAAAACCAAAATTTTCTTACACTATTTTTTATTGTTATGGACATAATGCATAAGCATAACTATAAAAAGCCTGAAGGGGGGTATAAGGTGAATCGCATTATTAATTTGTTTTGATATTTCTTATTTTATTATATTTTTTTTTTCGCGCATAATTTTTAAAAAATAATATTTTTTTTATATACATACATAATTATTGAAATGCCTTCTCCTTATTTTGAATTACAAGTCAATTTTTGAGTGGATTACATTTATAAAAGAAAAAAATAATATATATATGTCGTAATTTTTAAAGGGATCATGACTATCCGGGATCTTCGCGGGATTTAAAGGGATAACTAAAAAATTAGGGTTGATAATTAAGGAATGATAATACGGGGATTATCACGTTTTAATCGTGATAAAGAGGAATCTTATTTTAAAAGCGTTTTCTACGAGTTTCGTTGCGTTTCTAATTTTCAATTTTGTTTTTTTTGGCCTTATGATATAGGATATGTCTAGTGTAGGGTATCATTCGATAGCTAATCAAAAGATTTATTCAACTGGAGGTCAATCTCTGCCCCAGTGATAATACCGTATAGTTCTTTATCCTTTAAAAAATTGAAATTTTAAAGGGATCCCTTTAAATCCCGTGAAGATCCCGGATAGTCATGATCCCTTTAAAAATTACGACATAATACATCTTAATAAAATCGTTAAAATAAATACAGTTTTGATTTGTTCTCATACTTGAATAAATAATAATATAAAGGACAACGAATTCGGGTGAAATGGATCCCGACAAAGCAAAACTTCCATCCAAGATCAAAGTTTGGTAGTTTCTACATTCTTCAAAATTAAAATGCGAAAGCCGGATCAAGGTCCCAATTTCACCTTCATTAATGTGGTCATTAATGTAGGATTAAATTTTTTTAGAAAAAAATAAACAAGACTAAGGAACATCACCAGAGATTTTCAAGCAATTGAGATATAGAGCCATAAATAAATAAATAAAAATTACATATTTTAAAGGGTACATAAAATTATCCTTCATTTAATGAAAGCAACTTGGGGGGGGGGGGATATAACATCTCCTCTTATATACATTGTTTTGATTTAACTTATTATGAGGTGTAATTGATAAAAAAAACATACAACCTTGTTTTTCGACAATTCTCTTGAAGGCACCTAGAAATGCCAATTACGATTAGAGAAACACGAGTCCATAATCCTATTTAAACTACTTAAAGTTATTTATAAACAGTTATCTACAAAATTTTTATATCAAAAGAAATAATATATATATATTACATGCTAAAAATTACAAAAAATTAATTATCTAGATTTTCAAACCTTTCATCTCAAACGAATCATCTTATTCAACTCCAAGATGAAATAATAAAGTTTAGTTTCATCATGGCAGGTAACTGCGGGGCGGGTGTGCTCCTCTCCCATCGCATATTTGTATATTTTTCGTAAATATCATTTTAAGTTAATAGCCCATCCCCACCTCCCCTCCCCCCCCCCAAATATTTTCGATATATCACTTTAAACAAGAATTTTAAAGAAGAATTAAAGGTTAATAACAATTTTAAAATATCAATTATAATTCAAAGGGTCGAATTAGTTCCTTCGATATAGGATGTTATAAAATATTTATCAAATTTGGGCCATGGTGTTAATCATCTGATTTTGAATTTTTAGATTCAGATCAATGACATATAATAATACCTAGACTGACGATTCATTCATTAAAATGCATTTTTAAGCGTCGTTAAAAGCAAATCAGCTGGACCCGCCATTTTGGTAACCTTTATAATAATTATTTTCATGTTAAAAACTAATATTAAATTGATAACTTACTTTCTTATTATCTCGATGATCAGGCAGTCCTTTAATAAAGTTTGCATCAGATATAATATAAAATTAGGCTCTCGTTTAAAATTTTAATTTTTATTACAGTAACCAAGATGGCGTCTCTAGCTGATTTGTATTGATGTACACTTTTAATGAATGAATCGTCAGTCTAGGTATTATTATATGTCATTGATTCAGATGATGATGATGATGAAATAATAATATTCGTGGTTATGCTAATCTTTTAAATTAAAATATAAACAATAATATCCAAATTAATAAACTATAATAATGGCGTGTTAAAAAATATTGAAATGGGAAAAAGGACCTAAAAACCTCCAATCAGATTTATGACCGGATACACGCCCAATAGTGCCCCCTCCCCTATCTTAGTAAAAATTCTAGATGCGCCAACTGGTTTCATTATTTGTCAAAGTAGTGGGTCAAGGAACATGCCGGACAAAAGATCGTCAGGCAGAAGCTTGTAGGGCCATTTATGTTGATCAAATTATTATTTTCTATGTAACTTCAAATGTCGAGAACTTAGACAAAAGAAAAGGCTAAATTATGTTATGATTTACTTCAGCAATCATGTTAAAGTATAAGGGTTTTGATTTAATTATTAAATTTATTTATCATTTATTATTTATTCTATCATTTATTATTTAAGTATTTCACCCAGAACTAATATTCGGGGAGACAGGGGTAAAGTGATTGACGGGGTAAAGTGATTGAAGAGGTAAAGTGATTGACGAGGTAAAGTGATTGACGAGGTAAACAATTTTATCGTGAATAACTTCTTAACCCTTGGGCATAATAAATTTTATTCATAGATATTCTTAAATCTATGTTCATCTTTTGAAGAACTTTCCCGGGTTGACATATTTTGCCAAAATACCGGTTTTTACTCAAAATTATAAAAAAATTATCAGCTGGTTTTTTTTTTTGATTTTAATAAAAGATATTAAGGCTCATAATTTAAACATTTGTATACATGTTCCTTAAAGCCATAGCTTTAAGATAAAATTTATCGGAAGCTTGTCACTCAATAACGATTTGTACAATATACATATATTACCTTGGAGTAAAGTTGTTATGGGTAAAACGGTTTAAAATGTTCAATCTGATTTAAGCTGTAAAAAGATTAATTTTTAAATATTAAGGTCTACAACCACATAAAAAAATATTTTTGAGTAAAAAAAAAAGGAAAATCAATATATAATTTCTGTGTTATCTGGAATAAAATTTTAAGAATGTAGAAAAGAGTAAGCTTACCTGAATTGTACGATGTGCCTAAAATGGGTCTTTGATACTTTTGCATTTCGGAATTTTCATGATTAGTTTATACTTAGAAAATGGATATCAAAATTGCAATATTATATTCTAGTTATGTAAGCACTTTACCCTGATGCTTAGCCACTTTATCCTAGGTATGGTGTAAAATGGCGAAAATGACACACTTCACATAATTAATCACATCTCCTCAAATTATAAGTAGAGAGATCTACTTTTTTTCTTATCTTGTAGATGAGCGATTTGACTAATTTGTGCTGTTTTGTTAATGTTTCAAAATATTATCGGTAAAAAATGCGAAATTCCATTCGTTTTACCCCGGTATCCCTTATAAGATTATATTAACAAATATAAAGAAAATAAAAGTGAGAATCAAGTTTGCCAATTATAAGCTATAGCAACTAGATAGAGGTAGTTCTATGTACCCTGTAACTATGTTCGACGTGCCCTGTTTATTTTTATTGGAAATTAATTATTTTTGAAGATTAAGTTGGTATAGAATTAGCTGGCTACAAATATAGTCATTCATCAAGATTATATCATCTATATCTAAAGATTTTAAGCACAAAATCTAGTGGGATGTACCCTAGTTTTATAATAAATAAAAAGTAGAAATATATAATAATAAATCATATAGGGCTTTTTAAATATATTGTATGTATAATAAGTAAAAGCTTTCATATTTTAGATATTTATTACGTTAATTTTAACAATAATTCAGAGATCTGCAGGCCCAATTTCAATTGTTCAGGCCAACTTTGACGAGATATTAAGGTATAAGGGAAAATAAAAAATACCACATCATTTTGATGGATGGGACACGACCGAAACAGGGATGTAATCATCAAAAATACCCCCTACCCCCCATTTGAATAAATTCTGGATTATTCAGTTTGACAACTTATAAAACGCTATTCCCTTATCTGTTTTATCATAATCAAAGAGCATGTCAAACTTATTAAACGTAAAAATGCAATAAAGCTTACACATTCGAGACACCTATAGTAAGTTTTATATCCCAGCTTATTTTTTTTTCTCTAAGCCAACCAAATCGGCTAAAACTCAACTCGAAACACCTCTGAAATATCCAATATCATGGAACTCAAAATATTTGTCAGCTGGCAACGATTAGCAAAAGCATTATTCGCGACTTACTTACAACCTAAAATATTCAAGTTGCAAACTTGTCAAACACCCAACAATTTCTAATTTTATTAAAATGTATATAAAGCGGGAAACGCCCAAGGGTGGGGGAAGACCCTTAATGATGGGCTTCTTCAGTATAGATACTATAAGATTTTTTTTCGCACCCATTTCAGGAATCTTAATTCCTTATATACGAAATTCTTAATAGTTTTTACAGTAAAATTGTTTATACAACAAGTAAAGTTTAGTAAACCATGTTATAAGATTCGAGTAATTTTGTATTTTTAGGTGTGGAGGATTTTAGATTCAAAAGACTTTTTGAGGGACTAAGAACAGGGGGTGTACTCTCGTTCTTCGGTCTGTAGAAAAAATAAGGACATAAAATTTATTTATCACCATTATCATAATAATAATACAATTTAAAAGGTTTTATTTAAGCAAATAATCGAGATATCTTCCAAAATATCGCAAGTGAGACTTTCATGTAAGTCTGATAATATATATATTTAAATGATGAAAATAACTCGTTGCATATAAAACGATTCTCAATGTAATTTAATATCACAAATAAAAGTAGTCGATAACTATAATAAAATATTGTAAAAAAAATAAAAAATAAATCCTCTCTAATTTTACTCAGATCGGTCAAGATTATTTTAAAAAAATATAACGTTAAATATATTATCACAATGCAAGATAATTTCTATTATAATACAAAATATACATAGTGTTTAAGGTTAAAATAATTTACATAAGAAATAATGTATTATTTTTAAATAGATTGAATGATCAGACGTTTGCGGGAATCGTAAGCAAAGTTATTGTTCCTGAATAAGTCGCTGTGAAGGAATGGTCCTAGGTTGTGTATATTGATTTGTTTGGCCTGATTTTTTTTTTTTAGAATAATAAATATATTTAATAAGTTAATTATATATTTAATCAGAAGCTTTGAACAAACCACTTGGGGGCTGTCTAGAAGAGTAGATATTAAATATGCGAGAACATCCCAATTTTTTAACAATATTTATTTTATGAAAATCCAGTCAGAAAAATATCTCTAACAGATCTCTGCTTGATACATTAGCTAGTTATAGGCCAGAATTCTATCATAATATTGAATTTATCAAAAATAAGAAATTTATATTAAAAATAAAATATTCTTTAAAAAAAACATCCTAAATTAAAGATGATTTAGAATGAGAATAAAGAAAAACCTTATCGGCCAAATCTTTTTCCGATATTTTAATATTGGTCAAAGTTTGTATCTCATCTTGCGCATGTCGAGCCCTGTAAAAGGACAAATATTCTTGAGATAATTGTTTGAGCAAATATAGCAATAATTCGTCGTTGTCTTTTTTGTAGGATAAAAATTTGGAGAACGTCTTTTGGGCGAGCGCAAAATAAAGTATTATTTATTTATTTTAAATTCAATTTAATAAAAGAGATAATAATGTATTATAGTTGTATTATTTATATTTTATATATATAATAGATGTGAAATCTCATTTTATTTTAGTAAGTAATCATAGACAATTCATAAAAACTAACATCATACCTTCAAGCATTAATTAGTTTTAAGATTATACATTTTTAATCTCTATACGTTTGAAAGATAGTTTTTTTAAAAACCTTTTTCATAGTTCTCATGACACCATATTTCTGAGTGTCTATGAAACTTTCCAACACTATCCTAATGGCCATGTTGACATCGTCTTCGTTAACGTATTGCCTAAGCCTCATCTTCGCATGGGCCTCTGATAACCTTTTATATGGAATTATAAATGTATAGCTTATAGATAAAATAAATTGTATTTTTTTTAAACGATAAAGTTTATTGCTTTATTGTTGACACTATACACAAAATGCTGCTTTTTAAAAATATATTTATACTCTGGTTTGTGGAATCAATTCCTACAACATCTATTAATTTAGATGGATAAAAATTAAAACCTTTTCTAGATTTAAAGCTTAATTAAATTCAAATCCTTATTTAAAGGATTTTCCCGCCAACATTGAATTTCATTAAAAAAATTTTAGCCAATGGGATTCATTTGCTGCCGGATATGGAGAGTATTTAAATAATCCAAAACATCATTCTTAATTATTCTATTTGGTCAACTCATATTTTTAAAAGAAATGAAGAAAACTAGATAAAAACAGGAAGAATTTTGTTAAGTTATATTTTGAATTAAATATTAGAATTCATCATACATAGGGTTATAAAATTTTTTTTAAAGAGGTTACCTTCAAAGACCTAAAGTATATCAAAATAGATATAAACCTAATGATGGATTCGATGTGCCTCACTGTTATAGGAATACTGCCGGTAAGCATCGATTCCTTCCTGAGAGTAGCATATAGCTTAGCTATTTTATCCTGATCTATTGTGGTCAACTTAGGGTGGATCCTTTCCTTGGCATACATTATGTACTTTCTTAACATATCTTGAGACAGTGGCTCGATGGTTCTATCGGCTTGAAGTGGTAACTTGTAACAATAATAAATATTCATTTTTATTATAAAATTGTGGGAAAAAAAAATTTTGACAAAGAAAACCTGAGATTATAAGATTAAATAACTTAAACTCAAAGTATATGAAATTAATATATAAATGTTTAATATAATACCTTTTATTTTGTTCAAATTTATAAATAAAATTTTTGATATATATAATTGAATTTGAAATAGCTTAAAATTTTTTATGCGTGCTTCAGGAAAATTGAAATAATTAATTTTCTTTTATATTATTTAATATTTTTAAAGGAATTTAAATTATTCATAAGATATAAAAAAATTCCTGGGCCTGGGTTCAAGAAAAAACGGTTCGAGTTGGAAAAAAAAGCCTTAAACATGGGTCCAGAAGTCCGGGTTCGATCCAGATCCCTGGAAAAATCTAGTATAGTTTCTAAAGATAAATAATTTTTCATCGTGAACATAATTAAAACTTTGCGAGAAGTAATTTTACGATTCAAGATCTCGATACCACGTGATTATTTAATATAATTAGATAAATGAACTAATAGTTAAAATAATATCCTTAATATTTTTTTAAAAAAAATGAATAATCAATCCATTAAAACCGGGGTCTCAGAACAAACGCATTTCTGTGTTATAAAAAAAAAGAAAAGTTACGTTATATTTCGAAATATTCCAGAAAGGCGTTCCTAAATATCTAATTTTAATTCTAAATCGATAAATATTATTACAACCAAATTTTACACTATGTAGTATTAATTTAAAAAGGTCTATAAAATAAACAATGATTTATTTATATTTGTGCAGTGGGTGTTAAATATAAATTCGTTTGTCGTATAACACCTCTCGACACAAAACTTGGTATTGGTATTTATCCAATTAAAATTATATCAAACATGATCTTCTTAATTTTTAAAATTCCGTAATACTAGATATGAATATTATATGAAGCAAAATGAAATTAAGAGTCAATGTGTTATTTTTTCAACTTTTAAACCATTTTTCTGAGCGCGTTTTTTTTTAAATTTTAAATTTACCGGAAATTCCACCATTTATAGAATACCTGTCTTATGAATTGTAGATAATTTTACGGATAACTTTTTGAAGCCATTAATAATTTATTATAAAAAATGTATGGAAAAATTCAATATAAATTATATTAAGAAGTTCACGGAAAAATTGTGTGACATTCAATTATGGTAGCTATTTTAAACATGGCGGCATGCATTTCCGGTAAAATGATAAAAATTAAATTTTCAATATTTTTTTTTACGTTCCAGAACTGTTCCGGGAACGTTGGGATCACCGTTCTCATTTCACGCTCTCTAATTTTCCCCAAGTTCTGTTCCCTAGCTACTGATTTTTTTTTTTTTAAAAAAAATCAAATTTTTAGAGAGATGACACGTGATAAAAATCAAGCGTTTTTATTGGTTACTGGGAAAAGAGCTTTATAATTTTATTCATTATGTTATGATGCCTATTTTGAATAAAAAAAAAATTGTTAATTATTCTCCAAGTACTTCATCCAGAATATTTTCCACTTCCATATCGTTATCCGCTTCGCTGCTTCCATCATTGATTGGCGTCTTTGTCCGGGAGGGATGATGCCTCATATGACTATTTACCACGAATTTGGCTAACCTTTCGTCCTAATAAAAAAATTATCAAGTAAAAAAAAACACTTTGAAGTAAATTAATTACTAATGATGAATGACAGTTGTAAATCAAATTTGCTATTTATAAAATATAAAATTATTCGTGTTTGGGGGGGGGGAACTTGTAGTCCCAATCGCATTTATTATATAGTTTATGATTGCAATAGATATACAATATGAATTAAATAAGAAATTATTGATAATCTGTTTTATTAATATATATTGTGTTTCCCTGTAACATCCACTTTTATAGTTTTTATGGTACGATTATAATCAATGTTGCGCCACTCAAGGGTATAAAATTTATAAAATATATGGCTCATAGCACAATAATGTAGTGAAGGGGGGGGGGCTGCAATACAATCATCTGATGTATCCAAATTCCTATTGGTCGTAATACTTGCAATATAAATCCCTAACATATTTTTTTTAATCAACAAATAATAGATGATTTTATGACTCTTCCTGATAATGTCAAAAAATAATAAATTCGCGATAAAATATAATTTACTTCAACTAAGTCTACTACATCTCTGACTATGCAGAATACATCGAAACGCGATAGAATGGGCTCAGACAAATCAACCTAAAAATTTTTTTATAAATTAAAAATTTATATTTAACAAGTATGTTCATTTTTAACCAAATCTAAATATTTCTATGAATCTTTAAGTGTACAAGCATTTTTTTTAATGACGAAAAGAAATCAAAATTGTAAAATTCCTAACCCACTGAGACCATTGGTTATTAAAAAAAAATCACGTGAGAACATTTTTCTGCAGCACATCTTCGTTGTTTATCCTTGAAAAATGATCAGAGAAAAAAAAATATTCACAAGCCTGCAAAAATTTAGGTGTGTCAACTTCCCTCGAGGCTTAGCCATTTTTTAGGCTAAACCCGGACTGAGGTAATAGTTTTCGGTTATAAAAACGGACATTGAAAACACTACTTTCTGTCATTCACGAGAACCTATTCTCTCTTATCATGTTGCGTAAAAGTGTTATACATTTTCAGAAAATGTAAGGGATGGATCGTATCTCCCGGTCAAAGGGTTGGAAGCTGCTATGATGCAACATCTGGCTTGCAAGGATGTGACTATCCCAGCTTTCGATATGGAGATCGTCTGTTGCTCCATAGCTTCGTGAATGCTAGTTCGATCTTGATCACTCATCTGTTTTTAGTTTAAAGAAAAAAAAGATTTAACAAAAGTTTTATTATATAAAAAAGAAATAACCTTATCAAACTCGTCAATCAAGCATATGCCCTTATCTGCGAGGACCATGGCTCCTGCTTCTAGAGTCCATTCCTTGGTCACCGGGTGCCTTCTCACCGAGGCAGTTAGCCCCACGGCAGATGCGCCCTGGCCTGTGGTAAAAACGGTGCGGAAGGATATTCCAGAAGAATTTTTGCTGCGGGATGAATTGGAGCCTAAGGCTTGTACGTATTTGAGGAATTGAGATTTGGCAGTACCAGGATCGCCACAAATCAGAATATTTATGTCTCCCCTGAGTTTGTGTTTTTGACCTTTTTATTTAAAGTTGTTTAAGATTTTTTAAAATATTAGAGCTTGGAAAGTAAATAAGAAATATTCTCATTAAAAAAATCAGTAAATTTATTTAAAAAAGGGGATATTTTTGGTCTCATAATGGATTAAGATTTCATGAGCCCAAGTTTTTTGAATGAATGTGTTAGGTGGATGTGGCTATTGGGGTAAAAATGAGTAATTCCATATTTTCTTATGTATTATTTATCCCTTTTTTCTTTCTTTCTATCTTCTGGTTAAGTAAGTGTTACTATTAACATTTATGGAGAAGTGGTAACACAAGTATAATCCCAGATGAGAGATATATCCATAGCCCCATGAGATAGTTGTGAAGTCTCAGGTTATAATCTGATGAAAGGTTACAAGATTTTAGGAAATTGGAGATTCGAGGCTTTTTTTAAGGTATAGACTGAAAAGTTTATTTATAGATGGATAACTGTGTCGATGGCGACTTTTAATATATGAGGTATATATTTTGTTGTAATGTCGCACCCGAGTCTATGACCAAGGGTTGAGTACATAACCACGCAAATTTGCCTGATCTTATAAATATCGTTTAAATTTAATAAAAATTCCACCCCCTATACAGCCTCTCGCTATAAACGTTTTAAATATATCACTATAATTCAATTTTTTAGAAAAAAAACCTTTTTATAAAATTACAAGTGAAAATCCACACAATAGTGCAAAATGCTAGATATGCTAAGGCTAGAGTAACTCATTGTTGTTTTATTAGTTAAGAGGTTCCCTAAGTTTTTACTAGGCAAGACCACCAACTACTTGCCCACTTATTTAATAATATTTTGAAAGGTCGAATGTCAAGATAAAAATGCTGATAAAATAATATATGGTTTTGAAATTTTGGTTAAACTGTTTTTGTGAACTATTATATCAAGGAAAATTGTATACGTCAAACCATTGCTCTGCCACATAGAAAGAACTTGATATATATATAGTTATCAATAGAGGAAATTATGCTAGATTGGATAATAAAGAATTGTTAAATAGACGGGAAGAGGGAAAAGATGAGTGACAATGTAGCTGAAGATGCTGTCAAAAAATTAATTTTGACTAGTGCTTGTTCAGAAAATAAAAATTTTATAATGAGTGAGCCCAAAAGGGTATATCAATTTCAGCAGTTTTGTAGTCAGGTAAAGCTTGAATTGTAATCAATAAAACAGATTTCTGTCATTTTTATTTAGGATAAGTCACAGATGTTTAGAATTGATGTCTAGGCAGAAGGCTACAAATAGTGTTATCATCAAAATATCAAATATTAATATCAAGACAAGGTCATGTATGTCTAATCAAAAGAGGAGTGCCGAAAAAATAACCCTGTTTGCATACTATCATCAAGGATATGAGAATAGAATATCTGCGGAAAGCGCCTCTTAAGTCCCCTTTATAAATTTTTTTGTATAACTTGGCGCAATGAGGTTGCTCATAATCGTATAATGCCTCTTAAATAGGCTATGGGTTCACGTGAAAGAATTTTTTTTAAAAAGTAAGATATTTTTGGATCTTGAGAGGTGTAAGGCATTTTTGTAGGAAAATGTTAATAAATTATACCATAATTCGATGTTATTAACGGCTAACCCAATATTTTAGCCAAAAATATTAGGCAAACATGGAGATTTTTTTTATAGAGGACTGAAAGGTTTGGACATCTTTAAACGAAATCTCTACACTTTGCATAACATTTTTGGCTAAAATACCAAAATATTTTGTTAATCGTTTTTAAAAATCTGGCCGTTTATCAACACTTATTTACATCTAATAATCGTTTCGTTACTTTGGGAAGGTGTTTTATAATAAGAACCATTTTTCCCCAGTAATGTTTATTTTAATACTTTTTAAAATCAAAAAATAAATAAATAAATGCAGAAGTATTTAAATTTGACCACTCTCTATATAGGTCAACTTTTTATTATGGTTAAAAATGAAGTTATTTGTAACTATATTATATATAATCAATAATTTTATAAATATTGGGATTTACCTGGATTCTTAGGTTCTCCGCCAAATATGGCGAGTGCCAAAGCTCTTTTGATATTCTCATGTCCGTGTATAGATGGCGCGATACTCGCGAATATCTAAGTCATAAAATATTTAATATAAGGAAAATCTTACGATAGAGCTCGTATTAATAATATTTTTTATTTTCTTGAACCAAAATGAAAGGAACTTACTCTTCCAAAATGGCAGCCATGTCAAATGGCAAAATAATTTTGATCAATTAGGAAGAAAATGATATGGTTGATACTTAATTTTTTTAAAAAATGGATGATAACAAAATAAGTAAATAGCATGGGTATGGATTAAGGAGGGGGGGGGGTTGCATAAAATATTCCGAAATTTAGTAGATGGTGGGATTGAACGTACCACACAGTATTTGTGAAATAAATTAAAATTTTAAAATTATCGTAAAATCTCAAAAATAGGGAGAAAAGTAATAAAGTCGGCACAATGGCAAATTTTAATGTGCCTTGAAAAAAATTTATAAAAAGGTGTGTGGGGAGATGAGATAAGTGAAATCAAGCTATTAAAAAATAATCAAAAATTAGCAAAATCACTGTAACCACAATATTCTTTACATTTAAAAGATTTTATTTAGATTCTGGGTTATAACTATTTATTATTTATCCAATCAAATCAATTTAAAATAAAAATTCAATCATTATCTGGATAAAAAAATAAATAACATTTACGAATCAACTGAAGTTTGATTATTTCTTCAAATTATATTTGGATACAAGAAAACTTTTCAGGAACAAGATGCTTAGAAGATCATTTAATTTTATCTGTAAATTACGAGATTACCCTCTCAGTTATTTTTTCGTCCTTGGACAGAGCCATTATTGCTTTAACATCTTCGTCCATCAAGCTTGTCATTACATCATAGTTTCCACCACATCTGATGACGTTGTTGGCTAAGATGACCGTAGAAAATACAGGAAACCCTTGCTGAACGTTGAGGGCACCATCGTAGTTATTTAAGTAAATACCTATCAATTCCTGTCCACCAATGATAAAATAACAAACAATTTTTTTTTTAAATATGTAAACAAAATGCGAATTGATTTAAATCATTTTTTTATATCTAAAATATATGCCCAAATCTCGTTTCCACTAAATATTTTAAATGGCGATTGATAATTAATATGTGTAAGCAAATAAAACTTACAATTTCATCGCCGGGTCTGCAGGTGTCCACTAAATCTGCTAATAGTATAACGTCCTTTGATCTCGGCAATCTTCCAGCCGCGACTCTGCCGGGGCTTTCTTGCAAAGTTATCCTTTGATAATTTTGGTACACTGTCTAAAATAACAAATGTACAATCTGTCACCATATTATTTTAGAAATTGAAAAAGTGGGGAATCTGGACTAACATGTTGTGAATTAAGCATTTTTAGACCTCGCAATTAAACCAAAAATAGACTAGCAGAAGAAACGGGTTTGCATACAAAAAATAAACAAAATGAAAGAAATAAATAAATGGGAAAGTAGAAGAAAATTAGTTGGTAAATAACCCAGTTTCTAAATCATATTTATATTAGATTCGCAGACAATAGTAAAAAAAAAAAAAATTATAGTTAACAATTCATGTAAAAATTTCTAATATATAAATTGCTCATTAAATTTTGTAGATAGAACCATTTTATACTTTTTTTTTGAAAACAAAATATACCTGTTCCATGTTGATTTCGAAAGGACCATTGGAGAGGCATTCGGGACATGAGCCGGGTCGAACCTCACCAGACTCCTGAGTTTGGTAGTAAGGTCCGAGAACGAAATTGCATTTGAGACAATCGTACTTGACGTAATTTAGCTGTGGCAATATGCCGGTGGACATGGAGACGACCCCGTTGGTCTTTATCAGTGTGTTTAGGTGGATTTGCCTTTAGTGATAATTTAGATTATAAATATGTATTTTTATTTTCATTTTATACCTTTTATTTTTTTTTCTTCTTCTTTAAATTATGCAATATGTGAGTATAAAAAAATCGTTTTAAATCCTTTCTTAATTCCCAAATAAAATATGTTTTTAAAAACTTTATCAAGAAAAATCATTTTTAAACCTAAAAACATTAGCGATCAAATTCCAATTATCTTCTCAAAAAAACTCTTTAAAAAAACAAGATTAATTTTTAAATAGAAAATAATATTCATTTGGAATGTCTACTTGGATCCAATCATGAATAGACGAGATTTTAGATTTTTTAAATATAATAAAAATTTAATTAGAAGATATTAATAACCTAAGAGATCTGATATCTTCCCCTATTGGTAAATTGCATATCCTGACATGTACTTCAGGCTGTATCCTTTCATAATTGGGGAATAGGGATAGGACTACTTCTTTAGCAGCCTTCAATGAAATTACGTATATTATAAATTATATACATTATATAAAATAAAACCAAATATACAACAAAGTCCCTGGCTGAATTCAAAGTCGCATAAAATACCAGAATAAAAAAAACGTACCATATAAAATCATTTTTGACTCTTCCTCCCTCTAATTGAATTTTAAAAAAAAATCAGACAATTAAGGAATTAGACCTTTAAAAAATGCCACTAAGATTGACTTGTACCATAAATTCAATTATTTGATAGAAAGTTGCATTTCCGACGTGACAATGAATCCAGTTCTGAGATGCAGTTAATCATGGTATTCTTATCTAAAACATGATATTCGAATTCTAACTTTCTTAATAAAGGTGTTTCCATTCATTCCCTGATAAAAAAAGGTGCTTTACCCCCCCCCCCCCCATATGATATTAGCTTACATTTAGTGTTGTTAAAAATTCTTTTTCAAAACGCCCCATTTAGGATTTTGGCGAAAATAATAATATGGAAGCATCATGATTGGTCAAATAGATGTCTTAGCATATCTTCCAGCCATGTGCAAAATCTCAATGCTTACATAATGTTAATTTGATTATAATCTTAACCAACACTACTTACACTCTTGAGTAATTGGTCATCATATAAATATATATATAACCTCGTCAAATATTTTAATTATTTCGATTGGCACGATGGGTAAGAAGTAGGTTAGGACGTGTTCGGAAGCGTGCAATTCATTGTAATCCACTTCGAGACTTGATTTGTTGACTTTTTATTTATTTTTAAAAAAAATTATTATTTATTTTATTACTAAAATTGTCAATGGCTTCTCTCTTTTATAGCTCATATAAATATATTTTCAAGGTTGAAAAAAAAGGGTTGTATGATTAGTCAATAGCATTAATTCTAACGAAGATCAATGGAACAGGCTCAAACCATGAGAACCCAACATATAAAAAATATAGTAGTCTTGCATCAGAAACGTAGCCTAGCAAAATATTTCCCTTTTCTCGTAATATTTTAAGCTACCAATAACACCCCCCCCCCTTCCAAAAAAAAGAAGATTTTAAGAAATATTTAAAAAAATAAATAAGTGAAAAAACAGCAAAAGGCTTGCAATAAGAGGACCTAAAGACCTCCAATAAAATTCATGGGATAAAATCCCCAATAGTAACCCCCCCCCCACCTTCCCACTTATGTCATGCCTATAAAGTTTAGAAGCCAAATTTCTTTAGGAATGTATGAACTTGAACTTTGCAGGTTGGCCAAAGGTCCGATTATTATTAAAAATTTTCAGCCTGGCTTATAATATTGTATTTTTAGGGCTCTAGAACCGGAACAGATGGCGTTCACCTTTATAATCTTTTGCATATCTCCAATAGGTAATAAGCATAGATACATAATTATCTCTTTTTATCCAAGACTGTTACAAATACGGTATTGGCCGATACCTTCACACCAAGTTTTTTAAAATAATATATAATTTAAAAAAAAAAATATTATTCAGTGATTATTTCCGTCCGCAAATTACATGACAAAATTTTAAAAAGGTAAGAAAGGATAGGGAAAAGATTAACAAAAATGATTCTTTATTATTGATATGATAGCTATTAAAATGGGCCTTCAATAAACAGTATGATTGAATATTTGACTCTTAAATACTTTCTACCTCACTTATTAATTTACAAATTTGAAGACAAACATTTTTTTCCTTATAAATTCATTTTTTCGTTTTAAAAAGTAATTTTTTTAAAGAATTTAATATTTGAATCGAATCGAATATCTGACAAATCAAAATCAAATAGAATAATATTTTATTATTCATACAAATAAGAAATTTCCAATTCTTACAAAACGAATAATATAATTATTCGATTCGAAAGTATTACAAATAATGCAAATATTTAATTATTTTTGTAGTTTTAAACTCTAAAACCAAGGGCTATATTAAGGGGATGGCTATATTTAGGTGGAACAAGGTAGCCATTTTATAAATTAAATTATACCTAACTGTTTAGGACACATCTTAAAGATATTAGTTTTTCCTAAATAAAATATATATTCATTTTTTTAAATTCAAGATCAGATAATCTCAATTACATTGGCACATGGTCCGGATTTTTTCCTTGTGGACATTTCTGCCTTTGGCATCTGTAAAAGTCCTGAGGAAATGTTTGAACCTATTGTGGGCCTCCATGCGAGGTGCAAGCATTGCAAACCATTCCCGGGCTGAGAATCCTTTCATATCTTCCAGATTCTCTACACTTTCTATCATCTAAGTTTCAACGTTTTTTTAAAATAAATATTATAAATTAAAAATATAATAGGTTATCAGTATAAAAGCATTCAGATAAAAGAGAATATAAGCATCACATATTACCTTCCTATTACTTACCAATGTTGAAATTATCAAATATCAACTTTGCCTACAACGATAATTTAGATATCCTTTAAAATTGTAATTTTAACTATTTTTTTCTTTTTTTTTTAAGGAAATAAATAAGTTTAAAAAAAAAAATTTATTAGTATATGTATTATATATATATATCATAATTTCTAAAAATAATAAAATATTATTTTTTTACATGATTATTAAATGAATCATTATTATATCTATAAATTAATATATTTATTTGGTCAGTGGGAGCTTAATTACAGCTGGATCGACAAATTTAGATTGATATTCTTTGTCGTAAGTAGAAGCCTACTTTTGGGATTAAACGTAATTTTTGCCCTATTGTTTTGAATAATTTTCTTGGGGTCCAAATGATCCACAGGTGTCTGAGACCCAGAACAAACAAAAGGTTATTGAGGTGGCTATATATATTTGTTTTTGTATTTTCATGAAGTTGGCAGAAAAAGATCTGGGAAAAAACGACCGACACATGTATAGTTCCAAGCAAGGGGTATACCTTGGTTCCAAGTGACTAGTGTCATTCCATCCGGTCTGGTGATTATCAGTGCTGAGGCCAGAGGGTCCAGTGTAGAATAAATATTTGTGAATTTCAAGATTCTATTAATTATCAAATTGATGACATAGTGCCTGGGTAATCTGCCTTTTGAAAAACGATCAATATGAGTTTCACATAGGATACATGATAATGGCACTACAATTTCACAGCCTAAAAAAAGACCTATAGCTATTCTAAGTTCTTCGTTGGTTAGTAACAAGCCTAAATTAGAAACTAGGTATAGTTTCTAACAATTCGTAACCAAGATGGTATATATAGGCTGGAATTATTTGAACCTGCAAAAAAGTCATATTGTTGTCATTCTGTATACTCGGGGTTGGGTTTAGGTGGAGAAAAGGTGATGGATTCTTTGAACAGCTTTGAGGAGTAAGTATTCGAGGCAATGCTGCATCAATTGTAAATTATCAGTCTCTTTGCCTTATAAAATTTGTATATGAGTGGCTTGGAGCGTTTCTCCATAGGTATAATGCTGCCATATGGTGTGGATCGATAGCATCCAAGTCTCCAAGTTTGCATCAGAATTTAGCAACTTTGGATAAAAAGGCTGAAATACTTAAGGATATGGGGGAATAAATACCTAAACCACCTAGCTTTGGTGGAAGGGAGTGATAATAATTTGATATTTAAAATAGATATGAGAGTATTTTTTAAATGAACTTCAATAATATTTCAGGGGACATGAAAATTGTTGATGAACGAAAGGCATGTAAAATTTTAGGAATGAATAAAAATTTTAAGTAAATAAAAAGTCTGATGAGCAGTTAAATGTTTTAAAATATTTTTCATTCTATTGAATTTGACAAGAAATTTATCTCTGAAATGAAATGTAGCACTTTCACCTCCAATGGGTGAATCTAGGTTGGTAAAGCTAGTTTTGTCTACTACAATAAAATAAATATATCTAAAAATGCCTTCAATTCACTTAGAAGGGAACAATTTATACGCTCTTTCTGTGAAACATTCCCAGAGTAATCAAACATTAGAACATGTTAAATCCAATTTTTTTAAATCAATCATCTTCTCCAAACAAGGCATCCAACAAGGAGACACATTAGGTCCTGCATTATTCTGTCAATACATTCAATTAATCATAAAATAAATCTCTTCAAATTGTGACCGTAAATTAAATGTTTGGTGCCTCGATGACAGCACAATAATGGGCTTATATAATGAAAATAAAAAATCCTACAATTATAAATCGCTTAGCCACAATAGGACTGTCACTAAATCATAATAAGTGTGAATTTTATTCCCCCTAGAATCAAACTGCCCACCTGAAAATTTTATTGTAGTGAACATAACTAGCTTTACCCACCTAGGTTCACCCATTGGAGGTGAAAGTGCTATATTTTATTTCAGAGATAAATTTCTTTCCAAATTCAATAGAATGAAAAATATTTTAAAAACATTTACCTGCTCATCATTTATTTACTTAAATTTTTTTTTTATTTATTCCTAAAATTTTACATAAATAACAGTTAATATTTAAATAAAATATTTATTCTTTAAATCTAATCTTATTTTCCAATTTAAAAATTTTCTAATTAGAGTTTTTGTTTAAGAAAAATTGATTCGCGATTTTCGTTTGTAATGTTAATAATTTTACGTGCTAAAATTTTTAAAAAAAAATATGTTGATTGTGAGAAATTGCCATTAGTTGAAATGAGTATGGGTTGAAAAATAAAGTTATTTAGTATTGAGTATTTATTAATTTTTTTATTTTCCCCACTAGTAAGAGGGTTTGAATTAATTGATGAGGGAAAGAAAGAGACGCAGGTTGCGTTCCAAATTAGGGATTTCCCATTGGACCATGGGGTGCAGGTTAAACCGTCAGGTTTGAGACCATCTTGTAAAGAGAGGTTTGTTGGTTCTAGGATGTTAGGTATTTTAGCCTTATTAAGAGAGTTATGGATGATTTTATTTATAGCTTTATGCCGGAGATGACGACCTTAGCTGCGGGAGCCGTTTAGGCCGTGTCTTGCGTTTGATTGAACGGGTAGGTTGCAAAGGTGGCAAGTGTGTGAATGTGTAAGCGAGCATCCAAATCCTATGGTAACTCTCAGTTAGTCATTGGTTAAGAGATTATCAAGGGTTAGGCTTGGAAGTGCCTCAAGCCATTCATGCCCGCCGTATTTATCGTTTAGTTGAAGAAGTTGCATATCGCTGATATCGGAAGGGTTAAGACTATTTTGTAGTTTCTTTATAAGGGGTTCCAAGATTGATTTATTAGAAATTTCGGTTGAGAATGTTTGACCGTCTGGGGTTAGTAGATTCCATCTTTCGATTGCTACTGTTAAGAGATCGTCATTGGGGGTTATGAAAGATGAGATCGCGGAATTGAGCGAAAGGTGATTAGAGATAAAAAGAGATAGGGAGAGTAATTCTAAGGGGATCAGGTCAAAAAGTTGGTGCGATGGGATATGATTGATAAACTTTTCCAAGTTTTGCAACTCGAAGATGGTTTTATCGATAGTTTTTTCCGAAATTTTATTATTAAGTAGTGCGGAGCCCAAGAGTTGGATATCTTCGATTTCGATAATATTGTAATCTTTAAATGAGTCTAGGGAAATCTCGAGGTTGAGTATGCAGATTTCTGTTTTGGTTTTGTTTAATTCTAGGCCTATTTTGGGGCATTCTCTTTTGAGGTGGTAGAGGGCTTTGCTTATTTGATAGTCTAAATCCTATGGTAACTCTCAGTTGGTCATTGGTTAAGAGATTATCAAGGGTTAGGCTTGTAAGTGCCTTAAGCCATTCATGCTCTCCATATTTATCGTTTAGTTGAAGAAGTTGTATATCGCTGATAACGGAAGGGTTAAGACTATTTTGTAGTTTCTATATAAGGGGTTCCTAGATCTTTGCAAAATTGATTTTAAGAATGCCTTCAATACCGTATCTCGTTCCTATCTCGAATCCTTTTACGCCAATTTCCCCCAATATAGCGCATCGTTGATATTTGCTATACCAATAGCACTCCCCTCATTTTCAATGGTTGCGTTATATACTCCGATGAGGGTGTTCAACAGGGCGCCCCCTTGGCCCTATACTTTTCTGCTTAGCCATCCATAATATGATAACAGATCTGAAATCTGATTTTGATCTAGACCTTAATCTATGGTACCTAGACGATGGCACTCTCTACGGTAGCCAACATCAAATAAGCAAAGCCCTCTACCACCTCGAAAGAGAATGCCCCAAAATAGGCCTAGAATTAAACAAAACCAAAACAGAAATCTGCATACTCAACCCCGAGATTTCCCTAGACTAATTTAAAGATTACAAAATTATCGAAATCGAAGATATCCAACTCTTGGGCTCCCCACTACTTAATAATAAAATTTCGGAAAAAACTATCGATAAAACCATCGAGTTGCAAAACTTGGAAAAGTTTATCAATCATATCCCATCGCACCAACTTTTTGACCTGATCCCCTTAGAATTACTCTCCCTATCTCTTTTTATCTCTAATTGCCTTTTGCTCAATTCCGCGATCTCATCTTTCATAACCCCCAATGACGATCTCTTAACAGTAGCAATCGAAAGATGGAATCTACTAACCCCAGACGGTCAAACATTCTCAACCGAAATTTCTAATAAATCAATTTTGGAACCCCTTATAAAGAAACTACAAAATATTCTTAACCCTTCCAATATCAGCGATATGCAACTTCTTCAATTAAACGATAAATAAGGCAGGCATGAATGGCTTGAGGCACTTCCAAGCCTAACCCTTGATAATCTCTTAACCAATGACTAACTGAGAGTTACCATAGGATTTGGATGCTTGCTTACACATTCACACACTTGCCACCTTTGCAACCTACCCGTTCAATCAAACGCAAGACACGGCCTAAACGGCTCCCGCAGCTAAGGTCGTCATCTCCGGCATAAAGCTATAAATAAAATCATCCATAACTCTCTTAATAAGGCTAAAATACCTAACATCCTAGAACCAACAAACCTCTCTTTACAAGATGGTCTCAGACCTGACGGTTCAACCTGCACCCCATGGTCCAATGGGAAATCCCTAATTTGGGACACAACCTGCATCTCTTCCTTTCCCTCATCAATTAATTCAAACCCTCTTACTAGCGGGGAAAATAAAAAAATTAATAAATACTTAATATTAAATAACTTTATTTTTCAAGCCATAGTCATTTCAACTAATGGCAATTTCTCACAATCAGCATATTTTTTTTTTAAATTTTAGCATGTAAAATTTAACATTACAAATGAAAAACGCGAATCAATTTTTCTTAAACACAAACTCCAATTAGAAATTTTTAAACATAATTTTACCTGTTTTTTTAGGAACATTTTTACTATAAGCTCTTTTTAGAGCCATCAATATTTTTAAAATAAACATTCACTTTTAATATATATATTCATTTTTTATTTTGTTTACATGTTTTAAAAATAAATGAATAATAAAAAATCAGTAGATAAATTGTAAAAATATAATTATTTATATATTGAAAAATATAATAAAAATCAAATAGAAATTAATTTTTTGTCAAATAATACAAGCTCTCCACAACACTACCCTAGTGTTGTAAAAAAAATTCTATCAAGTACCCAAGGTTACCAAAACTGGTACTAATTGGATAAAATATGTATATAGCATTTTTGGTCTTGCCTCAGTATATAGATATACAATATATCCATTTGAAAAGCAATAATTTTTTAATAACTCTAATGTCTATATGGTAGACATTAAAGTTGCCTAAAAAATATTTCTTAATTTAAAATGTTAAAGCAAACTATCTTTAATTATTTAAATATGTTTTACTTTGTTTTTTTAAAATATTTTATTAACATAATAGACAACATTTCTAAAATCAAATGGCAAGGTTATTAAATTCTCATTGGCATATATACTAAGTGGGCATATGCACTCTTTGAATCTACTAAATAATGATTTGCTAAAATGAGTAATAATCATAATATTCTCAAGGAATGTAGATTCTATATATCTTAATAGTCTTTAAGATGCATCATATTTATACTTGTTCCTCCTCAAGTCTACCAAATGATGTATCTCCTTCCCCTTCCAAGGTGTGCATAAACTTTTTTCTTCTCCTATACTTCCCCTGGTCCTTTTCTTCTCCATCAATCAGATCCTCATCTATCATTTCATCATCTAATTTGACATATATAGAAGTATAAATATTTTTAAAATATGCCAATAAATAATCAAATCTGCACTAGCATCTAAATCAAATAATAATATTATATAAAAGGATAAATAAATTACAAAGAAAAATGAAATATTTACCATAAAATAATTCCCTTCTAAGTTCTCCCCTGGCTAAGGCATCTTCTCTTTCCCTCTTACGAATAGATCTTTCTGCAGCTATTCTGGTAGAAGGTGACATGGGTTCAATGTTATCATCTTCTTCTTCTCCCTCTTCAATTTCATAGTAATCGAGCTCTGGTCTAGCTCGATATTCACTAAATTAAGATACAAATATAATTTTATATTATATTGCTAAAAATTTATTTCCAATATTTATAAATTATAAAATTTTAAAATAACTATAAATTCAGAATTTATTTAGATAAAAATATATAATTATTGAAAGATATATTTTACAAAAAAAAATTAAATATATATATACATTAGTTTTAAAAAATAAAAAAATGATGGAGGAAAATTCACAAATATTATAATTTGATATACATAAATATATGTAATAAAATATAGTTTTGTTAATGCATTCTCATTTTAATTCATTAAATTTTGAGCAATAAATATAACATATGATTTTGAGATTCTAATAAATATATCATACAATATGAAATTAGAATAAAAGTAAACTAACTTTTCTAAATTGTCCCCAAATAATTCTTCACCCTCTTCTCCTTCCTCACTCTGATTATCAGGAAATAATTCCGAAAAATGACTTAAATCACCTTGCGAGCCTGCATTATTTTCATCATCTTCGTTATTATTATCGCTGTTAGAGGGTTGATTAACATGTGTGCCTCTAATTCCCTCAAAATTATTGCCTAGCAAGGTATTTAGGTGGCCGTTTTCACTAGGCTCATAATCCTCTCCTCCATTGGCATTACTTCCTTCATTAGTCTCATTATTTTGTTTAGTCTATAAAAATGAAATTAATATGTTAAGTTCTAAATATAATTTAATTACGTGATACGTGATATATAGCGCTTTTGCCCTCTAACGTTGAAGATTCAACAGAGCTACGCTAGGTTTTCCTCATTTCCATCTAATTGGAACAATTTAATTTGGGTATAAAAATAAAAATATGAGGAGCCCTCCACACGTTTGTGGGCAAGCCGCACGTACTTGTAGGCACAACATTTCGAAAAATGTTGCTTAAACCTCTATAGGCTTTAATTTAGAAGGAGTGGGACAAAGAAAAAGCCTATACCCGAGAACTACAGCATAATTTAATTACTTTAAAGGTGGGTGATGGCTGATTTTAAGCTTAATTTCTTTAATGTAAGTTATATCTGTAAATAAATATGATTAAAATAAAATAATCAATATAATTTAATTAAATATTTAAATAATTTTAATTTGGCGGTACCGGCATATTGGATTTAGCTCATTAAAATTACGGAGGAAAATATAATGTATATATTATTACTATTGATTTTTGAAGCTTAAACAGAAGAGCTCTTTTTATGATATAATATATTATTATTTATTACATTCAAAGATGGCGTTTTATTTATATCAAATTTATATAAATATAAATAAGAAGCATTAATAATTTATGTTAATTAAGTATCATTTTAATTATAACAAGATATATAAAAATTAATTTTTTTAAATATTCAAAATCAATAAAATTATTATATTTTATTATACTATCCTTACCGGCTTATTTGAATTCAAAAATTATAGAAATAACATAAATATATGAAAATAGAAAGAAGAGGAAAGATATAAATATTCAATTAAGAAAACTCAATCTAAACCTTAGTTAAATATAAATGAAAATAAGTTTTTTTATAATTTAACAATTGAGCTATATAATCTAAATTTTTTACTTTTATAAGATAGATTCTGCAAAAATGTCTCAGCTTTAGTTCGCTTCATATTAAGATTGTAACGATTATCTATTATATTGTAACGATTATCTATTAATAAGTTGTCATGCATTTTATTATTAGAAATTTGTAATTATTTATTAATCACTATATTTTGTTTACATTAGTTGTTTATATAATCAATTACAATAGAGAATTACGATTATAAAATTATTGTGGTAACATATTATATTGTAAATGATTTAAATGACTAATATCATTATATAGAAATATATTGTTGGTATGAGAGTATTGTAAAAAATTAAAATATATTACTAATTTTATTATTTTACTTTTTAGTTAATTTGAATAAAATAATTAATATCATTGGTTTAATTACAAGTACATCGTTTTATAAAAGTAAGTTAAAATTGATACTTCCTTTACTCGATTTAGGTCTATCTCAAAGAATTTCCCTTAAAACATTTGGATTATGTGAATTTTTATTAGACTAATAATCATATGGCCTATCAAATTTAATAGGTTATTAAAAATGATTAAATTCTATTAATAGCCATCTTCAATATATATATTCAGCCCAAATCTCCCAAAACTTTTAACATTAACCCATTTCTCTAATAATCCTACTTCATACTTAAGCTTATTTTATTTATCTTAAAAAAATTTCTAAATGGCCGCAATCCTTAAGTTGAGCTATTATACTTCTATTTTATTGCCCACAGTCAGCCTATTTCTAATATATTCTTATAATTTTTACTAAATATTTTCCCTCCTTCAAATTTAATTTTTTCCCTTTATCTAAGCACAATTTTTTTGATTCTTTTAGTAAATATAAATTATTTCTTATGAAATTATAAAAAAAAATTATATAAATTTCCTATTTTTATTTATATTATATTAATTTAATTATGATAACAACTCTAATCGACCTTGAAATAATGTTTACATACTAATAAAATATACTTTAACTATTTAAAAATATTATAATTCAAAATAGATTGGCCATTAATCTCGGTCATATGAAAATTGAAAATGATAAAATTTTGGGATCGTAGTTTTGATTTAATATAAATTACAATTTAAATTAATATAAATCTGCAATATTTTACAATAACTAAATTAATAAGAAAATTAAATTCAATATTTTTAAAAATAAATCGCTTTCAAAGATAGGTAAAAATAATCTGACAAATAATAATCTAAACAAAGCGAAGACTTATTTTTATATCAAAATCATGAACTAAGTATATTTAATGATTTTGATATTTTTTTGTACATAATTTTTCAATCAAAAAATGAAAAATTGTTCAAAATCTATTTTATATATATTAATTAATATTCACATGCAATAAAAAAAACATTTTAAAAAATTCAACAACATTTTTTAATTTTTTTTTATTTTATACATATTCAAATCATTTTTTGTTTTAAAGATTTTCCATTTTAATGTGCCAATAAATTCTTTAAGAGCATGGAATAACAATTTCGAGATTTTCTTTATATTATAATTACTTTTAATAATATAAAATTATATTTAAAAATATTGGTATATCTTTTTTATTGTTTTTTTTTGTTGCAATAACTATAAATCTCCATAAATTTATGGCTAAAATTGTATCATAAAATTTTAAGTCATAAAAATTTATATAATTATAAATAATGCTTTTTAAAAAGGTTTTTTTTTTATATTTAAAAAAAAGTTATTATATATTTATTCTATTAAATATAGTATAGTATTAATATTATACTACTCCTTACATGTTATTATAGATTTTATAAAAAACTTGTGCCTCTACATAATAAATATAATCAGGTAAGATGCCTTTTTTTAGTAAGTAGAACAGCACAATAGGCTCTAAAGTTTTTTGGCAGCCTTTAATAGACACAGGAAAATTATTAGTTTAACTATGATTCACGAATAAAGGCGGTGGTGCGGTCAACTTTGAAGGTTTCACTGTTATATGTTTCAAAATGTACCATCGAGTTTTACTCGTATATTTGGTTTGAAAAGATATTAAAAATATGTTTTTTTTAGAGAAGCTATAAAAAAAATTTTTGAAAATAATTTTATTGCTAAAAAAAATTTTTTAGCTAAAAAAAAATAAAAGAAATGAAATAGGCTAAGGAAAATTTTTTTAAACAATTTATTGAGATAATAAATAATAAAATTATTTTCATTTATAAAATTTTTATGATATTTTTATTGAAATCCTTATAAAAATTTTTATGATTATAATATAAAATTATAATACAATATACATACATTATAATATACTGAGGTTATACAATATATAATCATAATTAGCATTTGAATTTTTTTTTTAAACAAAAAATATTTATATTAACTATATGTTGGGGTGCAACAGTTTATCCAAATTTAAAATTTATTTTTATTTAAAAAATTTTTTTTAAATATATTTGATTTAATAATTTAAATATTTAATGAATCTTGGGGGTCAAGCTAACTTTTTAACAGGTATATAATATATTTATTAAGATAAATATTTAATTTTTTTTTTAAATTTCTTGACATTGGTTAGTTATTTCATAAAAATTCTTCACGAAAACGTAATAATTTTAGAATATTTCTTTATATTCTTTATTTTTGTATATTAGGGGTTAATCGAAAAAAATTTAATTAGAGAAAATGTTCTTAGTTAGTTATAATAGTCCAGGTTTAAAATAAGTTAGCTTGTTTATTTATACATGAGTATAGTTAATTATAAATGTATATCGATAATTTTTCAAAACCTATAACTATTCAGATCTATTTCGGTGTAACTATATCTTTACAATATCAAAAGATAAGCTTTTGTATTTCAATAGATTTTTTATAGTAAAAAATACAATTTATATTTATCAAAAATTTTTTAAAAAAAAACCAATCCCAACTTATTAAAAAAAAATTGCAAAATGTATGAGGGCTAACATATGCCAATGCGAATTAATGTTTTTATTAATTAATGGATTCTAATTTTTTCAAAATTTTTTTTTGAGAAATCCAATCCTAGTACTAAGTTAAATGAAAATATATTATATATAAATTTATACTGTAAAAATTTTTGATAAACTCGTATTAACATTTTTCAAGGATTATATTAGGCTAGGGTCTAATTAAGTCTTATGAACCATTGCGCTAACTTCTATAAAACCTTTTGAAAATCAGTAATATGCTGCAATTAGACATAACATGAGATAAGATTTTATATAAAAAATCCGTTCATCGTAACATATAGCATTCTTTGAGCATAATCTGAATGATGTGGATCAAGATAATCTTAATTAAGTATGATAAATTATCATATAAAATATAATATGTTGTCTTAATATGAATGTATATATTTTAATTTAATAATAAATATTAATTCATTCTACCCCTGACAATTAGTTTTTAATGTTATCTCTGTAGAGTCGGAATTGTCTCATTCAGAGAAAGAGTTGATATCATTTCCTATTAATATTTCTAGTTGAATTGAGGTTAGTAGTCATTTTTCCGTTGTCAAGGCGTTTTAATATATTTCTATCTTTCTATCTTTCTATGATTTTTGCTCTAAAACAGGCAGTCTTTCAAAAGATGAGGTCAGGAATAGTAAAAGCACTTGTTTGAAATTAGATTTATTAACACCTCAAGGAACGGAAACTTTAATTCGCTAATTTATGAAAAGATGAAAATTATGTGACTGATTTTTTATCTTTATATTCTATATAAATACTACTACACACTAAGGATACTTATTAGCGTCAAATTTTTGTTTCGTTATGTCGAATGTTAATCTTATTAAAAATAGTTTTCATACATATATCCAATTCCGATTTATATTATTTAAATTAGATTCTCTTTTGACAGAACGGAGATTGGAAACTGGCACTTTAATGAATCCTATAAAACTAAATTTAATACTTTTAAACGACAACTTTATTCCTATTTAATATCTTTTTTAAGGTTACATCATTTATGGTATCTGATTAAATTAACAACAACTAGTAAATAAGTAATAATGATAATATAACCACTGCGCGACGAACAAGTTTGAGAATATCTACAATCTCAAAATTTTTTGTATTATATTACATCAACCATATAGTTATGTGTTGATTGTTGATAGCCCCATTCCTAGGCTATCTGCTGTCTTTAGACAAAACCTTATTAGGTGTAGCCAGAATTTTGCTAAGGGAGGGTGCAGTATTATTTGGTTGAGTTTTTTTTCCAATAAACTTTATTAGAGATCTATAAGCTCACATATTGCAGGCCTCTGTCTATCACACCCTTTTTAAAATAAATTTTAAATTATTGCCATTTTTTAAAAAAATTATTAAATTTTACATATTTTTTTTTCAAATTGTTGTTTATTATATATTAAGGAGGGGGGTGGGATTTTATTAGCTTAAAATCAGAGTTGTTAACGCTCCTTTAAAAAAGTAGCTAGCTCTTGCTCTCACTCCTACTTTTTCAAAAGGAGTTAGCTCCCGTTCCCAATACTAAATTTTTAGAAGAAGCTAGCTTCCCTTCCAAGTAATGGAGTGCCACTCAATAGCCGCTCCTTTGATTTTCATTTTTATTTAGAAAGTACACAAAACAAAATCA